GCTTATTGTGTGTGGGGGAAGTCACTGATCCACTTCAACTCTCATTCCCCCTCTCTCTTTCTACCCTTTTTGTTAGCGCGTGGTCAAACTCCTCTGCTTCTTTGCATTTCCAACTGATATACATCTAATTTGGTATGTTGTACAATTTTAAAAAAAAAAAGCAGGAATTATGCGATTAACAATTTGAGTTTTGCACTAGTATGAATATTAATTAATTGTACAACATGAGAGTGAAGGATAGCTCAAGTGGTAAGAGCTTATTTCCCGGTCCCAAGAGATCCTGATCGATTCTCACCCTCGTCCTTGTGGCTCTCTAAACACCCAAAAAAAATTAATTGTGCAACATACCAATTTCTCTATACACTCTGTATATTTATTTTATACTTTATTAATTACAACATTTAACTTTTTACGCTATTTACACATATGTCTTTAACCGTCTTTTACACTTTATATGTCAGAGGAAAAGTATAAATACCAATTTCTCTATACACTCTGTATATTTCTTTCATACTTTATTAATTACAACATTTAATTTTTTACGCTATTCACACATATGTCTTTAACCGTCTTTTACACTTTATATGTCAGAGGAAAAGTATAACAACATGAGGTTTTTATTTTAATATTTGTCTTTGTTCAAAATTATACTCCTTTGGTTTTAAAATGCGTGGTCTGACAATAACAATCCCATCTTTTGATTATCATGAGACAATCTCACATTTTGATTATTACGAGACAATCCCACCTTTCCATGTCATTTTCTTTTAACAGACCCTGACATGTTAGTGACTAGTTTTTGTAGGTTATGTGCCACGTATCAAAATTTAATAGGTTTATTTCATTTTCTTTAATTAAAAAAAACCCAAAAAAAAAAAACCAAAAATACAGCAGAAAACAAAATAAAATAAAAGAAAAAGAAAAAACCAAACCACCAACCCCATCGTGAAACTCTAGCCCCTACCCCATCCACCACTAAAACTGGTTGTTCGCCCTCCTTAACCTCCGAATACGGCTGGCAGGAAACAGGGATGTGTTTATAAGGTGATTAAGGGGGTTTTTCGGGGCTAGGGTGGGGATTTTTATGGTGGTTAGAGAGGTTGGGATCAAGTTTTCGGCAGTTCGGAGGGGTTTTTAGCGGGTTTTCGGCGGTTGGCTGGGGTTCTTGGCAAGGTTTTGGCATCTGGGTGGGGTTTTCGGCGGGTTTTCAGGGTGGTGGCTTTGTGGTGGTTATGGTGGTTTCGGGGGTTGATTTGGGTTAGGGGTGATTTCGAGGGTGATTTTTGGTATTAAGGGGTACCGACCGGCCATTTTTAGGGGTATAAAGCGGCGGCCGGCCGATCGACTTATGGTGGGTTTAGGGTGTCATGGTGGCTAAGGGTAGTTGGTGGTGGTGGATTTTTTTTCTTTTAAATTTTGTTTACCTGTCTTTGTTTTTGTTTAAACTTTTTTTTATTTTGACCAATTATTGAGTGACGCATGGCTGTAAAAAAAAAAAATTAAAATACACATTTTAATCTATTTAACAAGTTGTAAGTAAAAAGGTTTGTTAAAAGAAGATTTTAGGAGTTTATAGGTGCTACGTAGCGGAAATAACATGAATCATATTCATAAAGCACCTAAACCAAGAATCGCATGCATAACACACAAGACACATAATCATACCTTTGATGCGTGAGTTCCACGAAGCTATTCACTAGTAGAAAATACGTAATAGAAAGCGGTTCAAACCCCCTAATGGGAAGCGGTTCTGAACCGCATGCCCTTAGGGGGCTTGCCAATTGGTCTTTAAAATGGCAAGCGGTTCAGAACCGCTTGCCAAATATAGTCAAAGGGCTGCGGTTTTGGCGCCAACCGCTGCCCATTAGGGGTATTAAAAATTATTTTTTTTTTGTTTTTTCAATTAAATTGATACATAATCAAATCATATGTAAAAACATTAATATTTTCATTAATTGTTATAATATTACAATTTCTGATTTTCAATCACAAAAAAAAAAAATAATAACAAAAAAATTAATAATAATTACAATTTCTGATTTCAACCACCAAACACCACCAGCCACCACCACACACCACCACCCTACACCACCAGCCACCACCCCACACCACCATCACCACGACCCCCAGCCACTCAACCACCATGACCCCCCACCCAAACCACGACCCCTACCCAAAACCAAATCCCCACCCACCAAAAAATCCCTTACCGAAACCACGACCCGACCCACCAACCAGATCCCCACCCAAACCACGACCTCCACCCACGACCCTAACCCAAACCACAACCCCCACCCACCACGACCACCACCCACTAAAACCAGACCCCCACCCGCCACGACTCCCCACCAAAAATCGAATTAAAATAAAAAATAAAACTAAAATCGAAATAAAATAAAAAAAAAAAAAAAAAAAGCCATCAATGTAACCCACCACGACCATCTAACCGACCGATTTTGGCTTCAAATTTTGTTTTTAAAGGTCAAATTCGACCATAAAAACTCTAGATCTAGAGTTTTCATGGTCAAATTTGACCTAAAAAACTTATACACCCACATGCATGCACGAATTTGCTCTAAATTGTTCGAAATTTGGTTGAAATTATCCTCGAAATTTGCTCGAAACTATCATCGAAATTACCCGGTTATGGTTTGAATTTGATGAGATGAGAAAGAACAAAGAAAAAGAGAAAAGGAAAGAAGAAAGGGGCGAATTAGAGGGAAGAGGAGAGAGAGGGAAAACGGGAGTAGAAAGAGGAGAGAGAGAGAGCAACCGAACTGAAAGAGGAAAGAGAGAGTGCTGAGTAAAGATAGAGGAGAGAGAGAAATACAAGAAGGGGGTGGGTTTAGGGTATTTTTTAAATGGCAAGCGGTTTGGGGTTGAACCGCTTGCCAATATATCTAATGGTAAGCGGTTCAACCCCAAACCGCTTGTCATTATATATATTGGCAAGCGGTTCGAGCCAAAACCGCTTGTCATTTAATATTACAGGTTTTTTAAAAAAAATGGTTGAATGGCAAGCGGATTTTTAAAACCGCTTGTCATTTGGAGCTTCCCATCATTTATTTTCTACTAGTGATTTAATAGGCAAATCAGGGAGAGAATAGAGCCCCAAGTGTTGCTCCTCTACTTAGTCCACGAGCTTCGAACGAGCTGTCAACCAATACTAGATTGGTCGAATGATTGAGGAAAACCGCGATCACCACCTTTTCGGTACAAGAACTGACCACCACGAATCACCACCACCACCACAAGCCACCACCGGTGCCGAGGAGGAGGAGAGAGCCGTGTGAGAGAGAGGAGAGAAGAGTTTTAGAGGGCTAGGCCTAGTGTTTGCTAATTAGGGTTTGATCACACTGATCAAATAATTGCATACCTGCAAACCCTAGGCACCTAGTCTATTTATAATCTTATTATAATTAGAATAGGGCACGAAGCCCAAAACTCCCTTATCCACTCCATATGGCCGGACACTATAGGGGATGAGGCCCATGATGGGCCTCGTCTTCTTGTGCTTGATCTAGGCCCTTTGTGTGACCTTATAGGATCCGTCCAATCGAGCTTTGGGCTATTTTACTAGTCCAAAAATCGTTGGTACCTCTAGCTATGATAAAACGACGACCCAAATGTACGAACTTAATTATCTCCATAATTTGATCCATTTATATATCTAGTAATTGCACACGACGAAGACATAACTCCTTCAATCTCCCACTTGTCTGAGACAAGAGTGTAATATTCAAATTCCTTAAGTTAATATATGTGTTGATTTGATAATATGATTGCATCACATGTCGAGATCATATTAATCTACAAATCGTTTCTTGAAATCTGAGTTAGAATTACAAAACCAAATGATTACTATGTCATGCATTTGAACGCGGCCACGTATTTTCTGAATTCTCCCTCTTCAAGCAGCCATGACACATTTCCTAATATAATAGGTAGACTCCATCTAATCTTGTGGCAACAAGCCTCCCACTCAACTTCTGAATAACCAGGAAACACCCTTTATATCTCCGGTTACGGCTAGACGTTTGAGTGTACCACAGTCACAACATCCATTGAATGATTCATGCATATATATGATTCATGCCTCCCACTCATGTCAAAAGAATCCACTAATATATACGGAATCTCTATACTTGAACTTTAAAGTAGGTCAATAGTTCGATCATGTATGATTCATGCATATCCAAGTGATTGACCGAGCATCACCATGCCCCTATAGCCCATGAAACTGCGTTATCCAATCAATCTTACATCCTAGTCCATTTATTGAAATCATTTATGTCCACTTTAATGATCTCGAACTAGGAACTTAAATAATATATGAATTTTGTTCACCTGTGGGGTTTCAATTTACCGGGTCATCAACCTGATGAGCCCATCAATTCATAATTATTTTGGAAATTTTATTCAATTTCCAAAACCATAATTAAATAAGAGAAATAATAGTTTCTTTTTTAAACATAATTCTGCAAATTGATGCATTTCTCATGTAATGATAGTTTTCTCAAAACATATACAACTTAAATAACATAACACTAGTGGAAAAAAGGTTATCCGTAACGGGCAGCGTCCGTTACGTATGCTGCCGTTACGGATGGCCATTATTATTCGTAACGGGCACCGTCCGTTACGAATAACTACTTATTCATAACGGGCACTTACAATGTCCGTTACGAATAAGTAGTTATTCGTAACGGGCGTTTCAGGTGCCCGTTACGAATAACTACTTATTCGTAACGGACGTTTCAGGTGCCCGTTACGTATAACTACTTATTCATAACGGGCGTTTCAAGTGCCCGTTACGAATAACTACTTATTCATAATGGACATTGTAAGTGCCCGTTACGAATAAGTAGTTATTCGTAACGGACGTTTCAGGTGCCCGTTACGAATAAGTAGTTATTCGTAACGAACGTTTCAGGTACCCGTTACGAATAACTACTTATTCGTAATGGGCATTGTAATGACCGTTACGAATAATCTCCGAATAAGACAAAAAATTAGGGGCATTTGTAACTAGCATTTCAGGTGCTAGTTACAAATACCCCCTATTCTTCTTTCCATTTACCACCCAAATTATTACATTCTAAAAGACTTATTATTCCTTGACAAACAACAATACTAATAACACCTGCGTATCTGTAGTAAAATATCATGTAAATGCTAGACAAATCTTGTATTACACACTGTACTACTACTTGTTTTTTTATACTCTCCTATATACACTTATGACTTCCTGTTAAATTCTCAGCAAATTTAATCTGACATCATTAGAACAGTTGCATCTGCATTCTCTTGTCAGCATTCTCTTCCTAACCTTGTTTTTCATCTGCATCAGTTGCAGATAACATATCTCCTGCAGCTGTATTGACCGGTCTCTCGGACTCATCGATATTCCCTGAGGTCGAACCAGGAAGATTATGCATGACAGAGGAAGATGGTGGTCAAACTAACTCACCACTCCCATGAGCAGACTCCATAATAATAATGCATGACCCAGCACAAGCCTTCTGTGTACTTTCAAGACCTGAAACCAAAACAATATTAATCTAATAGTCCGGATAAACTGAAACAGTAAACAAAACACACTAGTAGAGAAAGACTTCTACATAACACCACATAAAAATTATCTGGTCACAGCCCATGTAAAGAACTAAAGAAGGCATCTTGATAAATATTCTCATCACCTTCACAAGTATATTATCTTTTATAATCCATATAAAACTCTAGTGTATACTCAATTTTAAGCTTTCAATATAACAACTTTATAAGTATAAAATATATATTTAAAATAAATAACTAAATAAAAGCCTTGTTCGTTCTAGCCTATATCTTTTCCCTTGTCTGAGAACCGTGAGTATAAAAATCAATTTTGAATTGCACTTTTTTGCCAAGATGCCAACATAAAAGTATTTAGAAGCTATCAAGAACATACATAGCTTAGGATGCAGAACTCAGGGATATCTTAAAGCTACGGGAGATGCATAAATTTGATGAATGAATTACACAGAAAAACACAAAAGGATGATGTTGGCTTTATGCACAGCAATCACTTTCTTTCTGTTGTTCAAGTAAGCATATTCAAATGCATACTTTGCAACGTGTTCAGAGCAAAACTTTGTTATCACCTAGTACAATAGAATTAGCTTTAATCTTTTATACAACAAGATAAAGGCAATAACTATACAGAGATTTTAAAAACAGACATTAAACTCAATCTTCTAGAACGTAGAGGAAAAAAAAAAGCCAACTATCAGCAACACAATGGCTTTGCGCTTCAAACAGAACTTTTAGTAGCATAATGTCAATTGCAAAAGAAATGAGTTCTTATTTTTTATCTTGACAGCCCTTACAGGGCAATACAAATGACTTCACATTGCAAAGATGAGATGGCTCTACAGACATTTAGAAGCACATCCAAAGATAGCAAGAGATAATATAAAAAGAGGCCAACATAAACCAAATTGATATAGAGCTCTAGAAGAATAGTTTGATGTAAACCAAATTGCTTTACATAGAAATGTTACAAAGATAATAAAAAAACAAAAGAAATTTGGTCTAATATCCCTAAATAAAAAGTAATAAAAAGAATATGATCCTTCTTCCTCCTAATAGACATATTAGCATCTATATATCCATAGCATACCTTCAAAAATAGTCAAAAGTCAGACCATAAATTACTGATGGGCATACATATCATTTCCATGATACCATTAGTCACTACAGAATTGTAAATTATCAATCTATGTGAAAGTAAAAGGCATCATAATACACTTATCATAAAATTATGCATATTAGAATATTAATCTAACAAACTAACAATAATTCCACACATTAAATTAAAATAATAATAAGAATAGTAATTAATGATTCAGTTGTTCCATGGCTATATGCTTTAGATCAATTAGTTCAATAAGGCCCATATACAGGGTCTGTTACACATCATGCTTTGACAGGACACATTAAACTTCATTAACCTAATAAAATCAACATTATTTTATTCCAGTATTGAGTAAACTAAATTACGTTACTTGTTCTTGGTCAGGTCAAGCCACCATGCCTAATACATCAGAAAAAGGAAAAAAGCCAGATATTCCCAGAATTCGATTGTTATCATTTTAACAAGGCAGCCAAATCTTTTATACTGTGCATAATATAATTTATTTGTTAGAAGTCCACAAACAATTTAGCCTCAACTCATATTTTCCTCCCTCATAATGGATGTGACATACTACCACATAGCCACATACAACTTCAACCATCAATAGAAACAGAAAGGTTAGATGATGATACGAAGAAGAATCATATAAAATGCAGATACACACCATTTTATATATTTCATCATTCTAATCAATCTAACAACTTATAGAAATTAGCTAGACACTAAGCCCTTGAAAATTTCTACTGGTATTTAAACCGATCAAGAGTCTCACCTGTCTTAATTAAGAAGCCTTTTTACTATCATGATCCATGGCTGAACTAAGAATTAAATTAACGACAAACCCTCAAATGTCAAACAGATATTCAATGAAAAAAGGTATTTTACCTCAGATCTGCTTCATTCCAAACTATAGCCAAGATCTCAAGTCGACAGATTACACCATCAGCGATGAACTTTCGCTTCTTGCTCATCTGAATCTCCATGATTATAGTGATTTTCGAGGACAAAGAATAGAGAAGATAACCACGGAGGAGAGAGAACACAAAAGAGAACCGAGGAGAGAGAAGAGAGAGACGGCTGCAAGCTTGCAAATGAGGAGCAAAAAGAAACAAAATGAGGGTTTTTTAAAAACAAAATATCCAGCAAAATTAACACAAACCCATAAATCATCCAAATCAAGTCACACATATTAGATCAAACAAGCCCATAAAGAAAAAAAATCAAAATGAACCCAGAAAGAAAAATTAAAATAAAACCCCCAAAAAAGAGAAATTAGTTCACCTTCAAAGATAGAATTTTGAATCTCGACACATTTTGCATTCTGAATCTACCGAATCTTCGCGAGTAATTCACCAACAGGACCCGGAACCACCATCGAAGCATCTTCAGTCGTAGAAGTTAGGGCACTATCTTATGCTTGTTCCGTTGTTCGTATATCCACATAGAGATGAAAAAAATAGAGGAGATTGAGTGAGGAGAAGAGGGAGATAGAGTGAAATGATAGAGGAGCATGACGGCTTGAGAAGAGTGAAAGTAAGAACCCTAGTTATAACTATAAGTCTATAAGAACGGGCTTTTCTCATTAGTTGGGCCAAATTCAACATTTATAACGGGCGCTATCTTGTCTGTTACGAATAAATAAGTATTCGTAACGGACATTAAATTGTCCGTTACGAATAAATAAGTATTCGTAACGGACATTTTATTGCCCATTACGAATACTTATTTATTCGTAACGGGCAATATGGTGTCCGTTACGAATAATATGTATTTGTAACGGACTGTTATTTTGTCCGTTACGAATATGTTTATTGTAACGGGCATTACTTTGCCCGTTACAAATAGCCTGTTACGAATGACAATTTTTCCACTAGTGTAACTTGCTTCAATCCTAAGACTTTAATATGACTCTCATACCTTAGTCCATGGAAGGGGTTTAGTGATTTCTCACTCATAATAAAACTTTGCAGAACATGACCTTCCGCTAGTCAATGATCTCATAATTGAGGTCATATCCTTTTGTTTGGATTTGTGATGTGACTTTGGCTCCTTTGTTCTTGGGCAAAGGTGACCTGTTAGTCACATGACATTTTAATCCTAACTTCCTCTCTAACTATCTTACTATAGTTTAATACACATATTCTGACATTCAGTATGCAACATTGCTCTTCTTTGAACTCTTCAAACTCACTGTCCTTCTCCATCCAAACACAAATATGCATTTAGATCACCATCTAGAATCATCTTGCCTGTTTGGAAAACTTGCATTCGTGTAACCTTTTGACAACTTGCTCAAATTACCTTTTTAACACTGTAGCTAGAAGAATTCCTTTTAGTGCTTCTCAAGTACTCAAGGATCTGTTCTTGGTAATTCTCCGTATGCTTATTCTGAGTTTGCTTGAAACCTGCTACACATGCACAAGACATATGCAACATCTTTCTTCGTACATTTCATGGCACATGTAATGGATCCTTTTACAGAAGCATAAGGTATATTATTAATTTTGCAACTCAACTCCATTAGCTTTTGAAGGCCTTGAGTTTTACTAAGTGTAATACCATGAGACATGGGAAGACATTTTATCTTAGAATCTTACATCTTGAAATTGTCAAGAACCTTATCAATATAAGTCTCTTGATTCATTCCAATCATTCTTCAAGACTCACTCTATGGATTTTGATTCCCAATATGTACTCAACATCTCCTAAGTCTCTCATATAGAAACAATATTTCTAACCACTGCTTGAATTATTCAAGCATTGATATATCATTTCATATGAATTGTATGTCAACTACATACTAGAATAAGAAGACCAATTACTCCCACTAAACTTCTTATCTCTACAAGATTCCTTATTCGTTCTACTAAGGAAATCAAACTGTTTGACTGCCTAATCAAAACGAATGTTCTAACTCCTTATTGCTTGCTTCAATCCATAAATGAATTTCTGAAGTTTGCAAAAATTTCTAGAAATTTCTTGATTTCAAAACTCTTAGGTTGTATCATATACATGTTAATCATCAAGAACATTTCATGAAGGTGATTTTGATATCCATAAATAGAATAATCCAAATAGGCTTACCCAACTAATAGGTTTGACCCTATTTGTAAGACTATTATGGACTATCACATCTTTACAAACATGGAGTCCATACTGGATTTCATGGCTTTAAGCCATTTCCTGAGTTGGCACTTATCCAAAGCTTGCTTGTAGGGCATGGATTCTAACCGTTCTAATAAGAAAATTTTAGAATCCACCTTTTTCTCAAAATTTCAACAAACTGTTTGTTTTGATCCCATGTAACCTACGATAGGTATGAGCGACAATAGAATTATTCTCTTCAACTCCTTGAAGCATATCATTCTAGTGGGACGATAGAAGTCTTGCTAGTTGAATTAGCTTGCTTCGACACATGGTTTATCAAATTAGCTGATTTCATATGCCTTCATCTCTGATGTAGTGTTATCCACATCCATTTGTTGCTCGTCTCGAATCTCATTGAGATCTAACTTTACCCCCATTTGGATTTGTAGAAAGACATTCTTTCTATAAAGACACTTTCACGAGCAACAAACACTTTGATTCTACGCGATTGTAGGAATAATGCCTCTTAGTTTTTATGAGAAAACCCATGAAGAACTATTATTCTTATTTAGGGTGCATTATGTCATCTTTGTAAACATTTTATATTGATTTTATAACCCTTAATCTTGTTTAGAAAAGATAACTTTTGGAACATTTCCAAAACATAACTCTTATGACATCTTTTCTATTGCTTTGGTTAAGTTTCCTGTTTATTATATTCACAATTGTTGTTGTAATGTATATCCTCAAAACGATATTTGTAAATCATTAAATCTTGGATCGAACAATGGCAAGAAAAGTTTGATTCCTTCTTCAAAAACATATGCTTTAATTGTAATGTTTCTGGATTGTGAATTAATTCAACAAATCCTTTTGATGATCATTCCTTTTGAGTTAAATATTTATCACAACAATCATATTGTGGTGTTAAATTGTTTATCTCAAACTGATTTTACATTTCATTTTTGGAATTTTGAACATTCTAATGTTTCCAAGATTTACTTCATTAAGTAATTATCTATATATTCACTTAAATCATTAGTAAAAGCAATGAAGTAGTTAAATCTCTTTGCTAATTTTGAACTTATTGGTCTACATACATCATATGTATAGGTTCCATAAGGTCATTTTAGCTTCTTTTACCCTTTCTACTAAAAGGCAACTTGGTCACCCTAACTTATCAAGCATGACTTCTAATTCTCAAATGATTCATAATCATATAAGAATAAGAGTCCATCCATAACTTTGGATGTGCGAATGGTTAATGTGACCTAACCTTATTTTGTTATTAGTAAGTGTGCTTTTAATCATCTAAATCTACTCTTGTGATCTACTTATATTAATGTAATTGTAGGGAATATTTCAAGCATTATCCCTACTTGAACCCAGTGTGATCATACACTAAAGTACGGTGGCGTCCAAAGGGAAAGAAGATAGAGCAAAAGAGTCGCCAACAAGTTTTTTTAGGAACTTGTAAACCGTTCACGAGGTGAAGCTTACACCCCTTAACGATCCAAGAGATTGTTAACTCCAATAGGTCTGGAACCATGACTGGTAGTTCGGGGATGAAGGTTCAAATCTAACCTAAAAGAGATTGAACCTGCCCTAATAATAGGCCTCTACTTTATTTTGATCGTATTCATGTGCGCTTTCTGACTAACATGCAATCAATAGGATTACCCTAAACCTGTTTATCTATTTTGGTTGAATATTAATGCACAAATAAAACTATTATTGGCGATCACTTGAATTATAATCAACTTAACCCTAAACAAGATTATTAATTATCTTATTAAGCGTGATTACAAATACCAATTCCCTTTAAACATGCATAAAAGGTGTGATCAAGCAATAACAATAAAATTCAAGCAACATAATAACAGTCAATATAATAATATATAATTATAAATATTAATAATAATCAAAACAATTATAAAAATAATCATGAATCATTTTAAAGCATAATAATAATAGCAAGATCCAAGGCATGATACTAACAAGATTAATAACAAACCCTAGCATGTCACTAAATAATAAAAATTAAAGCTTTAACCCTAACATGATACTAACAATCATAAATATTAGGAAGAACATAGGAAGCATCATACATTTAATCATACTTAGTATTAAAGTTACCCTAGACATGATACTAGGAATCAAAATAACAATCTAAGCATGAATTCTATATCATAACATCAATAAAATCATTAAAGTACTTACCTTGATGCCTCGTACCTCTTTCTAATAACAAAATACACACGTTAGTAACTTCAAGGAAAATAATAATCAAAACAATTAAATTAAATAATTGAAAGAGAGATTTGGGACCAAACCCTCAGAAATTAAACCTTTCACGTCTAGGGAGAAGGCAACTTCGAATATGGCTAGGTGTATCTAAGTCTTGCGAATGCAGAATTTTGTATTTGAGAAAAGGCTAGTTTAGAAAAGAGAGAGAGAGAGTAATCAAGAAAATCTTGATGAGAGTTGGTGAATGAAAACGGGGTTATTAGAAGGCTATTTATAGAGAAAATCAGCCAAAAAGATAAAAAATCAAAACAGAGTTCTGACGCGTAAAACGAGGTTAGCGCCAGACGCTGACATTAGCGTCATGCGCTAACGCTAGCGCCAGGTGCCAAGCTTAGCGTCAGGCGCTAACGCTAGCGTTTGGCGCTAACTAAAATATTGACGCGTTTTCTAAAATCAGATAGAAATTGCCGTACAAGAGGATAAAATCGTATTTTCCTCAAAACATTCTTTTATTCTGATAAAAAAAAAACTCTAAAAAGTCAACAAAAGTCAATTTATCAATGCTAATTGAATTAGGAATGAAAAGAACCTTCTAGAAGAATCTAGAAGACTAAAACCATTCCTAATTGCATTAGGAATGATAAATCCATATTAGGCCCTCCTCTAGATCATTGGGCCGTATATAAGGCTCAAACCGGGTCCAGTTCGATAATTTGGCCATAACTTCCTCAATATTCATCGGAATTGGGCTTATAATATATCGTTGGAACGATCTTTTCAAGCCCTATCCAAATACACTACTATTGGACCCATATCATGGACCAACCAAACTGGGTTGGCTGTTTTCTTAAAATAGGTTTTCAAAAATAGAGAAAAGAAAACAGAAATTAAAACTATCCGCAACACTAAACTTTCCACACGTTCACTTCATTCGATTATAATTCCACGTGAAAGGTACTCATTACTGGGTTTGGTTTTGGGGAGACACAAATGGGTGTCTACGGAAGCCCCCACTTTCACTGAGTTTGGAGAAACGCAAGTTTCGAAAACAAAAGTCAAAGTAGCGATAGGGACGGAGAATAATTCAGAACGTTTTGCGATCCTAAATCACTCTTGTCACGCCGATACCTGCAAACTAGCATTAGTTAAACAGACAAAAGAGTTAAGAAACGCGTTTCTTGCACCGTCGAGCACACGTCTCTGAAAGTAACCAATTTTTTGCTGCTTTTTATTTTGTTGAC